ATCTTTGCAGGTCGGACCCGCCCGAGCGAGCGGGGTGTGGCTATATTCTACACTTTCTCAGTTTTTATGCCCCTCCCTCACCTCCTCCTGAAAGGCTTCGCCAGAGCGCCAAGAAGGTACTGCCAGAGCCCCCGTCGGAGCTCCCGGCAGGCCCGCACATGGGATTTGCCACGCGAATCATTGAGCATCCCCCGTGAACCCGAACCTTCTGATCCCACGGGTGCGATTATCGCCGGCATGAGGTTTGGCGTCCACGACAAAGAACTTCTTCCACTCCCGTGGACGGACTCGACAACAACTGATTGCAGAAAAGGGCGCTGATGACCGGGACATCTGCGCGCGCCCTCTGCAGATACCCGACAGCTGAACGGCCGCTGAAAACGAGAAACCTGGTGTACAAGGGATCAGGAAAAAACAACGCGTTCCCACGCACGCACAACGAGGCCCCGGGCCAACCCCAACAAGGAGCCGGCGGATGTCTGCGTGATCGGGCATGGGGAGACCGAACATATGTGCAAACACATTGAGTGTCACGACGGGGCAGAGCGGATGTAAAACAGGAGAAAAACGCGGTTTGATCAACCAAACAAATGCGGCAGCGAGATTGTGAGATACGTGGGAACGTGGCGCCCCGCGTTCTGACTGCGCGTTTCTTTGCGTCGATGGCATGGACCCGAGAACACTGGAAATCGTCGTCGTTGCCACAGCAGGGCTTACAACGGCACCCGTGGTTCATTCATTTGCCACTAGAACCTAAGCTCGCGTAGCGCGCGTCGTATATGTGTATATACATGTAGATATGCATCTACATAAATGTATATACATATATGTATATACATACGCACATATATACGTATATGATACGTTTACGGTGTGTATGTGTATGTGTATGACGGGTACACTGATATGTTGTTTTTTGTATGTATGTATGTATGTGTGTGTGTACGTATCCATGCATGCATTTATGTATGTATGTATGTTTGTCTGTCTGTATGTATGTATGTATGCATGCATGCATGCATGCATGTATGTATGTATGTATGTATGTATGTATGTATGTATGTATGTATGTATGTACGTATATGTGTGTGTGTGTATATGTATGTACGTATGTATGTATGTATGTGTGTGTGTGTCTGTCTGTCTGTCTGTCTGCCTGTCTGTCTGTCTGTCTGTCTGTATGTATGTATGTATATATGTATGTATGTATATGTATGTATGTATGTATGAATGCATGCATGCATGCGCATGTGTATGTATGTATGTATGTATGCATGCATGCATGCATGCATGAATGCATGCATGCATGCATGCATGCATGTATGTATGTATGTATGTATGTATGTATGTATGTATGCATGCATGCATGCATGCATGCATGCATGCATGTATGTATGTATGTGTGTATGAATGTATGTATGTATGTGTGTATATGTTTGTGAATATATGCAAACTATTTTTCTCGAGGCCAGGGAGCCCGGGGCCTGCGGCTGGACGGCGCATGGAGTTGCTGGGGGTCCCGGCCGGGTGTCGCGGCCGGTCCCAGAAGGTTGCCAAGGCGCCCCCAGGAGGCGTACAAACAGCTCCCAGATGCCGCGAGCCATCCGTGGAAGGCCAGCAACACCCCCAAGTCGCTCCAAGACGGCTTCCTGACGGCTTGCAACGCCCCCAAAACGCTCCAAGAGGACCTCAAGCGGCCACCCGAAAGCGCCCCAAGAGGCACACATCATTTTTCTCGAAGTTTCTTACAGTTCTCGCCGTGTGAGACTCCGAATGTTTCAGATGACGGGCGACCCAAAAGGGCTCGAGAGGCGCCCAAAACGTCCCCCAGAGAGTCCCAAGACAGCCCAAGGCGGCCCCAATGCAGCTCAAGAGGCGTTCAAAAAAGGCTCCAAGACGAGCCACATCGGGGGCCGAGAGAGGCCAATTAACCGACAATTCGAACTTTCCACCCCGAAAGGCCCCCAGGAGGCTCCAAGAGGCTCCCCAAAAAGCCCAAGAGGCCCCCCAAGAGAACCAACAACAGGCCCCAAGAGGCCCTTTAGAGGACAAAAAATTGTTTCCACGCGGCGAACAACGTCGCCGAACAGACACCCGAAGAGCTCTGGGGACCCATGCCGAGCGGATTTCGATTTCTGGAGTCGTCACAGAGAAATCTTATTGTTGGTCTCCGGAAACAGTTCCGCGCTCTCTCGCTTCGACGCCGAATACATTTTCTCTGAAATCGAGGCTCCCGCGCGGGCGTTGGCTTGAGTGTAAAAGTGGGCCCTTGGAGGCCTCGGTACAACGACAACGTCTCCCGGTCGATACTCCCTCACAATTTACCCCGAGACACCCTGGCCAGAGAGGCCCCCGAACTCACGAACGGCGCTCTCGCTCGAGACTTCCTCGCAATGCAATCAAGTTGGCGGAGGCTCAGCCACGACGACAAGAGCTCCTGTTCGATATTTCTCCACGACTTACTCCGAGAGCCCCTGGCCAGGAAGGCCCCCGAGCTCAG